TTTTCGTTGTTTTAGTCCTCCGGCGCCGGAGATGCCAGCGTGGCTTGCCGGAGGTGACGTGTCCGTCAGGTGTCGCTGACTTGGCGGACACGTGGATTTTTTATTTTATTTTTTCATTTTTAAATTTTTTTTTAAAACTTATTTTTAATTTATTTTAAATTTTATTTGTATATTTTTTTATTTTTTTATTTGATCCAATTAAAAAAAATTAAAAAATTTTAAAAAAATGAATAAATCCACGTGTCCGTCAGGTGTTGCTGACCTGGTGGACACGTCACCTCCGGCAAGCCACGCAGACTTCTCCGGCGCAAGAGGATTAAAACAGAGAAAATTTTTCTCTTATGAGACTAGTTTGCGACATGCTCCACTTACAGGAGTAAAATGATAAAGGATCCGTTACGGAACTAAAAAAACAGTTTACCAATAAATAAATGAACACAGCAAATTTAAGTGAAAACCCAAAGAAATTCTTTTAAAAAAATATTATTACATTTTTAAATAGTTGATTGCCTTTAATAAAATAAATAAATTATTATTATTTATTTTTAAAATATATAATTTTTAAAATTAAAATAAAAAATTATCCATGAAATTCTGGTGTGTTTCTTTAGGGGAATTTGGATTTGAGTTTAATATTTATTTGAATTTTGAATTTATTTTAAATTTTGATGTTACTTTTGTATTTAGATTTGATTGGAGTTTAGAGAGTTTTGATACGATTGATTTGATAAGTAATAAATATAATAATATAAATATATATTAATTTTAAAATTTTAAAATTAATAATGATATAATTTGATTATCAATTTATGTATATATATATTTTTAAAATATATTTATTTGTATTATAGAAAATTTTGTATATATATAATATATATTTTATTAAATTATAATATAAATAAATATCAAATATATAAATATTATCTCACCTACCACATTAAATTAAAAATTATATATACAAATTAATAATAAAAAATAAAAATAAAAATAAAAATATGCCTATAGCCGAGGTGTGTCCGTCCTTGTGGAGAAGGGGTGGTCTTGCGCCCTTTGGCTCCTCAATCGTGCGCAAACAATATATTTTACCAAACCTATTTTAAAGAAATGGACTTTAAGGTTTTATTTGGTTCGAGGGTTTAGAGGGAGGAAACCTATTCTAAAGAAACAGACCCTTGGTTCGAGAGTTTAGGGAGAGGGTAAAGAATGTAAGGCAATCTTAAAATTTCTCATGTTGATTCAGTTTGTTTTAGAGGAGATGTGAGAGAAATGAAAGGGAAGGGAAAAAAAGGGAAAATAAGAATGACAATCTTTTTTAGTTTTTTTTTTCTAATTTGAAGGAATTTGAAGGGCGAGATTTTATTATTATTATTATTATTATTATTAATCTCATTATCTGTTATATATATATATATATATATATTTTCCTCCAAGAGGAATTTGAAAGGCGAGATTTTATTATTATTATTATTAATATTATTATTATTATTATTTATCTCATTATATGTTATATATATATATTTTTTTTCTTTCAATTTGGGAGGAATTTGAAGGGACGAGACTTTATTATTATTATTATTATTATTATTTATCTCATTATTTGTTATACATTTTTTTTCCCTCTAATTTGGAGGAATTTGAAGGAGCGAGATTTTATTATTATTATTATTTTTTTTATCCAATTATCTGTTATACCGCTCTTTTTTAATTTTTAAATTTTACATTTTTAATTTTATTTTTTATTTTTTATTTTTTATTTTTCTAAAATTTTTTAAAAAATTATTTTAAATTATAAAACTAAAAAATTGTTTTAAATAATAAAAAAAATTAAATATTTGAAGAATAACAATGACAAATGGAGTTATGGTTGAATTAAAATTATTGTATCAACTTCATAAATAGAGTTGATGGGTTGGAGATGACCTAACATTTTTAAAATTTTAATATTTATTTATTTTATTTTTAATTATATCAAATAAATATTAACATATATATTGCACATATATTTAGATTATATTATATATTTAGAAATATTTTTAATTAAATATTTTAATCAAGTTTAATTATAATATTTTTTAATTAATCATATAAATTAGTATATAATTATATCTATCATAATAATAATAATAATAATAATAATAATAAGGACTTTAAAACAAAATCCCTATGGAAATGTTCTACGTAATTCAAGTTGTCCAGTGGACCGATTTAACTTAAACCTTGACCAATACTGGCCCATTTTAACTCGGCCCAAGATCACCATTACTTAAAAAAGAAAAAGAGTTCTAAAATTGGTCTTGGATCGTTAAATAAACTTTAATATCTTAAAATCGAATTGGGCTCGACTCAACCCTAAATTGTTCCAAATCGGCCCAGACCAATTTAATTCATAAAAAAGTAGTAATTAAAAATAATTATTACATATTACTATTTAATACTCCCTGGTCCCACTTACAATATCCATATTTCCGTTTATGTCCGTCCAACGTCCCATGTCACTTTTCTTCTTCAGAAATGATTATACACTTTAATCTCATATTAAAATTTTTTATTTAATTTTATTTAATTTTAATTAAACTAATGAATTATCTTAATCTTAATTATAATTATTTATATTATAAGATAATTATTTTCACTAATACATTCTTAATTATCTATTAATTATATTTATCTTAAAATCTCGTGTCTACGGTGACTCAGACATCAAATATGGGACGGGGGAGTAATATACAATGAACCCCATATTTTTTTTATTAAAAATTTAAATATATATTTAGGTTGTGTTGTTTGGAGATTTGAATTTTGAGTTGAGATTTGAGACGTAAAAATTTTGAATTGTAATAGTTGTATGATGTGATATAAATAGGTGATATTTTGAATGTAAAATTGAATTTTAAAATAATATAGAAAATAAAAATAGATATTTGATGTGATACTTTTGGAGGGAAACTTTTGGATGAATAGTGAATTTTTTACAAAATCCTTCAAACAAACATACCCTTATATAGAAGATACACCATCGTTTGTTCCCTTCGTGTTTTTGTTTTACTTTTAGAATAAATTTCCATAAATATTATTAAGTATACCCGCAGTCGCTATCCGAAAGTACGCACTGTTAAGCTCTCCGGCCGAACTTTATAACCTGCAAATCAGGTCCGATGGAAAAGTCACACTAGGCGAACCATGTGTGGCAGGTGACTTGAGACGTCGGGGATTTAAACACATGAACTCTAGTATTATATTAGGATATAATAGGAATAAAGTAGAAATGACTAAAATAATCTTATTAGTACGTGTGATATAAAGGTAATGACATTTGTGTAATATATTGTAAGTTGTAAGGGTATTTGTATTGTTAGGTAGATAGTACAATTACTAAAAAAGAAAATAAATACTTTGTTATGGAACAGACTAAAATAAAAAAAAAATTGATACTTTGTTATGAGACGGATAAAGTATATTTTTATGATCCAGTCCATTATCCTAAAAAATTTTCAAATAAAATTGAACTGAAATTGTATAAAGTCAAGCATTGCAGTCCGAGCAAATTGATACTCAATCTCACAAAAACAAACATAACACTTACATTTCTCACATAAAATACATAAAGCATTAATTTTGTTTGGCTATTTTTTTTTATTTTTTGGCTATACGATTCACAATACTCCTCCTAACCACTTCAAATGGACTATTTGGAATTTTACAGTAGATTATAAAATAATAGTATTTTATTAGTTAATGAAAATATGTAAGAGGTTTTGAGATTTTTGCTATGTATAAAATAATTATATGTGTAATGATATATTTATAATTTAGGTAAAAGTTAGAAGTATTTTGATATTAATGTATGATTATTTTTATTAAAATATAAAACATATATTTCGGAGCAGGACAAACAAAAATGATAAAAATGATACTTTAAGTTTGAATAAAAGAAAAAAATACTTAAATGAAAGGTTTTAATTTGGAGTAGAAAATTCATACATGTAGAAATATATCAATTTAACACTAGTAAAATATTATTCGTTTTGAACAGCCTTTTTTATGAATTTGTTTTTGCAAATTTTCTAAGAGACTATATACTAGTAACTTAGGTTGGATAGAACTCAATCAACATCCATACCAAGGTTGTTTTTTGTTTTTTTTTTTGTTTTTTGGTTTTTGTAATAATAATATCTATATAGAAAACTAGGTATTGATGTATATATAAAGTTAGAAGGAGAGGCTGAGATTAATGGAAAATGACAGAAGCCCAAGCCAAAATAATCGAAAATGGATTGTGGTGCCTCTCCTCCTACTGTCCGACAGACAGAATATTTAAGAGGCTGAGATTGGATGACACTGTCTGAAAGACGACAACCTAAGGAAAGACCAACAAGTACAATACAAATACAACTTCTTGTGGATGGGAGATGAAAGACGCCAGCCAGACCAGATCTAGGGACGAATTTTCTTATACCAAAATTCATTCAATTAATTAATTAAGCAAAAACCTAATTCAATATTCTATCCAAATAAATAATGAAAAGACAAGACAAGACAGACCTCGAAAAAGCAAAAAGTAATAATACTTGTGTTATTTTCAACATAGGTGGGGACAAAAAAAACCTCAACTTCATTGAATTTTTGGTTAATCAGATAAATTTGATTTAAGTACAAATACTATATATTTAATATTTATTATATTTAAATTTGATTTAGGTCCGTTATTGAATAAAAAATATTTATATTATTATATTTTAAAATTTATATCAATAATTATATTCTGTTCAAAATTTGGGGTGTAAATATATTTATTTAATTAGAATTTTAATTAATTATTAATATATATTTTTAATTTTGATTTAATTCAAAGTATTTATTAATATTACATGGCGGTTTTGGATATTTTTCAATACTAAATACTTGCATATTTAAAAAACGTAATGGCATTCACCCCTACCGGTTTCTGCTAGAACTGAAATTAATTTGTAACGATTCAAAATTACACCAGGTATTAAATATAATTAACAGTACTATATGCATCAAATGCTACAACAAAAGTTGATTTCCGTAGTTAATACATATATAGAGCAACAAATTCAAGAATTAAGAAACGTTGGTTACAAGGAGGGTAGTCGAGATCCTGCGATTCTATATTTCGCAGTTTTCCAATATTTTAACAGCATAAAAATATCAGTAATATATATATATATATATAAATGTATATATCTACAAATTAAAGGGGCATGGGATGGACGAGCGAAGCCTTGATAGCTTCCTTGACTTTGGATTGCGAATCTGTGAATCCATCGCCGTCCCTATAGATGAGGTGAAAGGTACGCGCCGAGTTGACGAGGCACTCAACAACCGCCATGGGAAGACCTTTCAGATTCAGACATTCTTCGTTTATGTCTTGCCAGGCTGTCCACACCTTCTCCTTAAGCGCAACGAATGTCTCCTCTTTCGTCGCGCCTTTCTCGCTCATGTACACATGCACCGAAGATTGCTTCTTTTCGAGCTACATTAACATCATACATTTATATATTGTTAGATCTATGAAACAATTAGCTTAATTTTTTGATGAAGTTAATCAAGATCATATATATATAAAATATATATATTCACCTGGTATCCGGCCATATCGTCCATTAGTCTCCCGATCAACGACGAAGCGCACACGATTTTGGGCTCATTGGCGACCCAATCGAAGTCTTCCTTCCCGACCAAATCTCCCATGCCGACGAAGCAAGTGACGGCCACAATCATATACCCCAAAGATGGAACCCCAACCCTAAAGTACTCTTCCAGCGTTGGAGTCTCGCTCTTGAATAGCCTCACGGCTTCCTCGAAGTAAACTCGAGAGAGTTTCTTCATCTGCAACAATATATAATCAATCAAAATATAATTACCCACAAATGAATTAAAACCATTATATATGTTTACGAATTATATTAGCACATGCACACCTCATCTTTGGCGTAACTCGTTCGGTATTCTCCGTCGGCTCTTACCAATTCCGCCATTTCATCGTAAACTTCCAGAAGCAGTTCGTAGCATGAGGTCATGTAAGGAGGCAGCCCTTCCATGGCCGCGGGCTCCCAGCGATCGATGGCCTTGGTGAACACTTGGAGCTCATCCAGAGTTCCATGGACGTCGTAAATGTCGTCGATGATGGTGATCATCATCAGCACCTTAGACAGTGTCATCCTCCCCACATGGAATCGGGGCTCGAAGAACAACTGCATGATCCAGAAGTAGCACTCCACCATTCGATCTCTCACGAAAGGGAATTTGTTGCCGAAATCCAAATCCTTCCACCACTTCGTGAGATCGCTTATCTCCTTCTGATGCAACTTTTGGACCAAGTTGAAGTCCATCTTAGCCAAGGCCAGGAGCGAAACGTCGTGCGACTCGTATCCTTGGTATATCGGGATGAATTTCGTCGCGTGCAACCGATTCAAACACTTGTGGATCGGGGTTTCTAACGCTTCTTTAACTCGGGCGGCGAGGAGCGCGTCGCCAATATGGGAGACTACGGCCGCGAGACGAGTCGATGAAAACTCTAATGCGGCGTCGAGTATTTTCTCCCCGCGTACGCTGTAATGGGATGCTTCGTACAAGCTCAATACCCCTTGTACATCGTTCGCCAATGACTCCTCGAACCTTCCTTCCTTGTCCATGAATTTCTCAAACACATCTATTACATATAAAACGATCATCATTGAGTATCCAACATATATAAAAAATAGTTTAACATAGAACTAGTACTTGGAAACACATACTCGATGGCACGTTGAAGCGTTGGTTCCTAAGCAAGCGGAAGCGAAGAGCAACCACATGAAGGTCGTTGCCATCGTTGAATCCACCTTTGGCATAAGCATCGTACACTTCCTTCAACGACCCCTCGATCTCATTTTGGAAATGGTAGCCCACTCCAAGCCTTTGCACTGTGTCGATCAATTCCAATTTATGCAACGAATTATTAGGCGTTGCGTCCAAGAGCTTCCTCACGTGTTCTTTAAGCGTCTCGAGCTTACCATCGTCGGCATTCATCATCTCCTACTCGAATTTTAACAATATTGTATTAAGATAAGAACCAAATTAAATAAACAAAATGCAAGTAAAGATGCTAATGAATTATGGACATACCGATCCATAGGAGAGAAAATAGTCCCCCCAAACCGTGGCATGGTACGTTAGAGATCGACGATCATCCTCCAAACTCGAAAGGGCCGGCGCTGCGATTTCCATCGTCGAATTTTCGACTTTCTTCGTGTTTTCTTATTTCGATTTATTTTAAAGTCTTGGTAGAGGGCAGTGTTTGAGAATTCACTGAGACTTGCTTGATGATGATATAGAGTGTTGCTAAGTCGAGAGGTATTTATAATTATAGAGATACACATTGTAGAGCTATAAATAAATAAATAAATAAAAGAATACATAAAATAGATTATTTTCTCACTGTGGATATTATTTGTCAGTTTGTTTGATGAGTTTCTATGAACCATCCTTAGTGTCCATTCAAAGCACATCCGAATTAAATATTCCAGTACATCGTTTACTAATATTACATTCTCTATTTTATGTTAAAGAAAAAGCGTATCAATTTTGACGAGTAAACATTACTGGTTAAAAAATGTAGGCAGTCTTACGGATTTGTTTTCATGCCAACAGATTGCAAATTTACGTACGTTAATAAAGATTTATTATTATTATTATTATTTTCGAAATTCAAATTCTAGTTTGAACCGTGACTGAAATATATAATACTATATTACACTAAATTCAATATAAATAAAATGTATTATTATTATTATTGGAGAGCAATTATATATTTATATTAAAAAAAATAAGTAAAACAAATTATTGAGAATTTTGTAATATATAATTAAAAAATGCTTTAATATATTTGTTGGTTATAATACGTATTCAACATATTATATTATTATATTAAAAAATCAAACATAGACTAATTAAAATAGTATCAACATTGGACCCACTGTTGTATTGGGTGCTAATAAATAGTATTAAAAAATGACAAGTATACTTATTTTTAAAAATACTATGTTCATTTATTTCAATTTTAACTTTCAAACTTGACGGCTTAAGGAATATTTTTGTAAGTAAAAGGCTCTCCTGAAAGGATTATTATAGACTGAATAATGAAAGTCTCTATAATTATTGAGACACATAAAATATGCTATTCAGTATTTCTTTAAAAAAAATAAAAAAAAACAGAAAAGAAAGGCAAAATATTCAATCACCTCATTCCAAATAGTGGGAAAAGTTGCAATATATATATATATATATATATTTGGCATGCTAAATTAAAAATAATAGCAAAAATTTGGGAGTATTGTTAGTACTTCCTTTGTTTTAAATATAATGTCAAAATTATTGTACACTTAGAAATTTAAGAGTATGATTAACAAATAATTAAAAATATATTAATAATTAATTATAATAGAGATATTAAAATTAAAATAATTAATTAATTTAATAAAAAGTATATATTATAAAGTTATATTTAAAATATTATTAAAATATGTAAGTATATTTTTAAAAAAATGATATAAGATGTAAGAAAGACAAATAAAAATTGTGACATAATAAATGGGATGCTAAGAGTATAATATACACATTAAGTTTTTAAGTTGTTTAGTAGTATTCCCCTCGTCCCAAGAGGCATGAACCCTTTTATTAAGAACACGGTTTTTTAGGTAGTGTAAATTAGTAAGTTATTAATAATAAGTTATGATATTTGTTTATTATTTTTTATATAAATAATATTATTAGTATTTAAAAACTTTTTAAGATTATATCTCAAAAAATATATATACAATATGGATATTATTTTGTAGATAATAAAATTTTATATATTTATTTATGATTACCATAAATTAGTTTTATAAAAAATAAGAAGTTTTAAATATAGATAAAAAAATTATATTAATTGAGGAGAGAGATAGAAATAAAGGGGTTTTGAGTAGTCCTACCGGTAAGATATTAGAAGTTTGATTAAATTGATTTATATTTGTTAAGTATGTTTAAAATTGATAAAGTTACAAAAATAGAATGATGCCATCTTTTGTATGACGTATTAGAAAGGAAAATGAGTCATCTGTGGCCCGGACTGTGAGTATTTGTTTTTAGCTTTGATATAACATTAATTAAAGATTTATTTCTTTAACCATATTTTCTCAAATTTTACTAGTTGAACTCTTCGTTTTTAATTTTTTTTTTGTTTTTTACAAAATTTGTCATCAAATATTATTTTAATATCAAATTCAAATTAATTTTTTTCAAACTCAATTGAAAGAAACACGGCTACGATACTTTATATAAAAAATTACTCTATTTTTAATAGACGTAAAAAAATTGTAAAACAAAGAAACTAATGATAACATAGATATTGTATGGATTCTGACACTTGCTGCTGACGTGAGAAGTTGCTATAGTTTTAAGGTTTCAAATTTTCAACGTTCAATAAAGTTTACAGCTTAAATATAATAAATACTACTCCCTCCAGATACTGTGTCTGCTACACTGTAGACATTGTATTTTAGGAGGGATGTAATTAGTAGATAATTAAAAATGTATTAGTGAAAATAATTATTCTATAATATTTAGTTTAATTAAATTAAAAAAAATTTAAAATTTAAAATGAGATTAAAGTGTGTAATCATTTTCCAAAAAAAAGTGACATGATACGTGAGACGGATAGAAACGGCAACGTGGACATGGTATTGGGGCGGAGGGAGTAATATATAGTACGTGAAAAGCTTTTACAAATTTTATTGCATGATTTATTTTATATTAACTAAATTAAAATACTGTACGTGCAAAGTATATATAAATACTGCATATGCATTTTATTTTAAATATAGATGTGAAAAAAAAATAATAATAATTTACGTTTGAGGGTTTATTTGGAAACAAAATAATAATTAAAAATAAAAGAAATTTGAGGTCGTGTGACGGCGGCGGCTATATAAAATTAGAAATAAATTCATGCAGTCAACAATGGAGTCTTCGACCAGTCATCTCCTCTATCCAATTTAGTAATTCTTTATGTTGCCATTTTCAACAACAAATTACAGACATTATTGTCTACCATGCTTTCTTTAATATTCATTCATTTGGTGGTTTGTTTAATTTTCTGTATTTTTAAAATTTGAAGATGAAATAATCGCTTATTATGATATTTTATTATAAAAATAATAGAATCTAGTTCTTAAAAAATTCAAGAAAAATAAATAAATTATAAAGGTTTTTTTAGTTTGATTTTAATTGTTTTATAATATTTTATAAAATCATTATTTTTATTATATAAAATATCATACTCAAATCACTATTAAAATTAAATTCTAAAATCAAATCCTAAATAACAAACCCTTATGACAAGAAAATTAGGGTCACACATGTATATATATATATATTTGAACGATGAGATAAATGTGTTAATTATTTAGTTACAGAACATTTAAACAAATTAAAAAAATTTATAAAATATTTGAGACAAAAGAATATTATTCTAACTCACACAATTTCTGATAAAAATATATTATTTTTATCCATAAAAAAAAAATAATAAATAACTATAGTAAACTGATGAAGCAGTATTTGTTATTACAAAATATATAATTAAAACTTTTATTTTTAATAAAAACTTAAATCAAAATATTTCATTTAAAATCAATTTCAAAATAAAATTAACCAAACCCTTACGTGAAGATTCATTAATTGAAATACTCTTTTAACTTTTTTGATCACTGAATGTAGTAATAGAATAATGTCGTGGAAGTGGATGCATGTTGAATTATACTAAAGGAATATAGTTAAATAACAATATTGAATACGCCGCGCCGCCTCAATGATTGCTATTTTATTCCAGCAATAGTTTTGACAAGAAAATTAGGGTTTCACATGTCCAATAACGCCGGGTGGTCACCTGCCACTGGAGCTGGCAAAAATTAACTCGATCCGAAGCTGGCCTGAAATAGTTGAATTTGAGTTGAGATTTTCGATTCAATTAATAATTGGATCAAACCCGTTTAATTCATTTAATTAAATAGATCGGATTAAGGTTTATATTTTCGATCTGAAAATAACCCGTCTAACCTGTTTAATTAATATTATTTTAAATTTAAATATATTTTGTAAATCTTATCAATACAATTCAATATTTATAGCCAATTTTATAGAAAATAAAAAATAAAAAATAAATGATTGTGTTGTGTACTATTATGTAGTGTTTGTTAATTCAATTCTTGAATATCGGTTTAATTATATGAATAAATATTTTTTTGCTTTAATATGTATATATATTATGCATTTGAAAATTTTGTTAGTATAAATTATAATTTTAAATTAAAATTAAAATTTTTTATATTTAAACGGGTTATAGAAGTCAGATTCAGGTTGACCAAATTAATAAAAAGTCAAGTTAAGGTTACAAATATCAACCAATTTAATTAAATGTGTCAGGTTCAGGTCAAGAATTTTGTAACCCATTTAAACTTACCTAAACCTGAACCCGACCCAACTTGATCCATTTGCCAACCCTACCTACCACGCATGGTTCGCCTAGTGTAATAATACTTCTTTTAGTATTTTAGATTATTTATTTTAATAAATTTTCATTTGTGAGAATTTATTTTCTTTACGAGTATTTATTATTTTGTGTAATACTCCTTTGCCGTAATGTACGAAAATAGGTGGATGACCTTCGATTTTTGTATTTGGTGTGTATTTGTGTTTGCACTGTATTTTGATATGATAAAATGTGAGAAAAAATTATATGCATTTGAATGATATAAAATCAATATTTTTTTTAAGTTATCAACAAGAAAGACATCTTCTCTAGGTTTCTTGTAACTACCTATTACATATAAAATTGTGTTGTTTTTACAAGCTAACAACCATAGTACACTTCCTAGTCTAACCAAAAAGTTGTATCAACTTACTTGATGCATCGTAAGAAAAATTCTTCGGAGTTTCAAAAAAATATTTTCTATGATGAAAACTTTCAAGAAAAAGTGAAAAACGCCCAAATGGTGTCTTCGATCCACTCTTACTCTAAAATAATTCTAAAATAATTTCTCCTTAATGATATTGGCCAAAAAAATTATTTTATTCTCCTTTACTCCTGAACTATAATTGTATTTTTGTTTTGTTTTTATTTTTAACCTATAACTTCACGGTCACAAATTCAACTCCTACATCACCAATACGTCATACTTTATTAGACAAAGTGAGTACCTTTTCTTAGTATTAGTTTTTGTTAATATTTATAAACGATAATTTATATATGGCGTGTTTTTTTGGAGGTTTGAATTATTGATGAGATTTGAATAGTAAAAATTTT